CTTGAAGCGTAGACAAGCATCTTTTCAGTTTGGTGGATTGTGTGCAAGGATTGAAGCATCCTAAACCCTTTAAGTCTCCATACATATTACCAGTTTTTCACAAGAAATATAGTTTGACTATACCTTCGCGGGTTGTCAGACTGTTGGATGTATTATAATATTTTATAAAGAAAGATTAATATGTCGTGAAAAGAAGATCGAGAACGATATAAAGATAAAATTATTTTACAGAGATTTTGACACTGAAACTCAATAAAATGCATAGAAAAGTTTTAAAAGCAAAAGGTAACTTGCAAAAGGATGTTCTTCGTCTTTCAAGCCAAAATCACACTTCCGAATTGTGCGACGACTTTCGGCAGAGGTTTTTACATTTTTGATTAAAAAGAAACTGATTAAAAATAATTTCAAAAGCAAAAACAATTATATGTCTATAAAAAAAACACCTTTTTTTTAAATAAAAAAAATTCAAAAAAATGCAACGTATATCTCATTGGAATGCTGAGAGAAGGCTTTTTTCGAGCGTTGAATTTCATAACTCTCAAATTTTCATATCGAGTTTATTGTTGCATTAAAAAAATAAGTGTCCAATGTTTTGCTCAAAGAACAAACAAAAAATGTTTTGTACTAAAAAAATTGTTTAATGTAAATTTTGGATGACCCCTAAGTATCTATTTATGTATATATGAATATATAATATGAATCTTCTTAATTTAAGTAAAAATGTTTGTGTTAAATGCATGCATAGTGTATGTAAATGCAGACACGTTAAAGTATATATGTTTTGTATTATCTCGGCATTGACGATCATAGGCATATTCAAAGGTATTCGAACATAAAGTGATTATGAAAGTCCTCGATAATAGCTTAGCTTTGACAAATTAGACTGTGGGTAAGGAAAACGTAATCGAATTTTTTTCTTAAGTAACAATGTATTCGAGTGTATAAATAATTTTTTTTATTAAAATTTTGACAATAACTGGTGGTTACGTATATATTATAAGATTTCATTTGAATTGCAACATTTTCTATAATCAGAATCTTAATCTTCCCTACTGTACATCAATTTTCACAAAATGGCAGTTTAGTACAAACGTTAATTTTTTAATCAAAAAGTAGCAGTAGAGAAGTTTGTATAAACAAGATGCTTAAATAATAAAAACCCCTACGTAGTCGGCTATATAACGTTATTGTGAAACCAGATAAAATTTCATGTTATAATTACAGTTTCGAGAAAAACACGTTTAAAATTGTGTTGACTCAGCTGATGGATTGGATTGGCAGGGGTAATTTGTTTTAATATAATGCTAAATTAATAATAATTTTAGTAATCCAAATTATACTTTAAGGCACAAAAAAGGATTTTTTGAAATTATGGACTGGCGTATTCTCTTAAAAATTATTAATCTAGGAATTTCTCATCTTGAAATTGGTTTCTTGTTAGTATAAAGCATAATTGGACAACATACTAATTAATACCAAATGTGATTAAAATTCCAATTTCAAAATTGTATATTGTCCGTAACCAGTAAAAAGTTTATTAAGTGTGCGACACTTTATAAACTGAGTATTCAAAATCCTCTATATCTCATAATTGATGATGTAATGACATTCTTAATAACTGCCCGCAACCATTTGGGAATTTTCTGTTGAAAGGTTTGCTTAAAGTTTGGCGAGATTTCCATTCTCACAAGTGTCAATCATTTAATTGTGCCAACTGAAGAAAACGGGCAAATGTGCTTCTATAAAAAAATCTTCAGCACTTACAATTTTCCACCACAAATTCAGCGCAATTGAAACTTCACAACACCGTAAAGGTCAACTGCATGAAGACATCAAACGGCTGTTGCGCAAATGTCAGTGAAAAATGCACGATTTCACAAAATTTCAAGCTGCACTTGCGACTTGACTCCAAACTTCTGTGATTGACAGTGACACAAGAGCAATTTAAATACAATTAAAAAGCCGCACTACAATCAACCTAAATTTGGGTTGCCATCAAATAGAAAATGCAAAATACAAAGGTAAAAGGTACACAATAAAATGTAGAAAATGTAATAAGTCAACTGTCTGTTGATAGTTCAAATGATTATTTCTTAACAAAAATCCGCTGAAATAAACCCATTCGCAACGCGATTGCAAAATGCGAAACAAAGCCGACAAAACGGCGCTAAGTTTACGTAAATCAAAGGGGTTTGTACATTGAACTCAGGCGATTTTTTACCACAATTTTGTTGGCATGAAGAAATTCCGTAATGAAGAAGAAGAAAAAATGCAAAACATGCATGCGATAATTGGTGTCATGCCATTGGCATATTTAAACGAATAAAGCAAATAAATTTTAAAACACAATCACCATCAATACAAATTTAATGTGAAGACGTGATGTGATATACATACATATATTATATTTATACAAATATTATACATACAACTATATATTAGATATACCTATATTCACAGTTAGATACTTTAGCGCGCTTGACTGAGATCGATTGCCGTTGAGGCTGTGTCTGTATTTGTTACGCTAGCCGCTGCCAAACCCATTCCGACGCAACAAATTAACGGCATTATTGGGTAAGGTAAGTGACAAAGGGTGAGCCCAATACTGTTTCGACAAACGCCGGTTTTTTGCTGATTTATAAAACACTTGATTGCGCTTTGAAATTATGCTTTGTTGAGCAGCCACGCTTTTGATTGAATTTCGAGGCAAAATTTGCCAAAAGAAATATTACAACAGCAATGTGGTTGGATACCGTTCATTAGCACCACAAAAAGCTAGATACTATTCGCGCTCGTTAATTTTGTATTGCATTAATATTCAATTCACACTTACGCGCCTGCTCAATCATTGTACTTGGTCAATCGCTTGAAGCGTGCAAATTGAATTTGATATCGCTTTGCGTGTGAATATCGGCTATACATATATTGTATTTATGCATATATACAGATATATATGATGAATAAATATGCTATATACTGCCTGTAAATCATTTTACAAACATGTTCTATTTGTGTCAGTGTTAAAAGCACTGTGATGGCTATTACAAAAGTACACATGTTTCATATTAATAAAAATAAATTATTATCAATAAATTTAAAAAATAAGTTTGCGAAATTATTGTTATGAAATAAATTCAAATATTGCACTTCATCTATGAATCAATATTCTTAAGTAACAGTTTTTATACATGAACAGCTTATATTAACTTTGCCACGAAGTTTGTATAATAAAACCCAATAGGAAACGTCGGAGACCCTATAAAATATAAGTGTAAATAATCAGCATGGTGGGATGAGTCGATGTCCATCTGTCTGTCTGTGTATACGCGAGCTAGGGCCTCAGTTTTTGAAACATCGATCTGAACTTTTGAACACGGAAGAGACGTCCCAGAAGTTGCTCATTTATCGAAGCCGCCGATATCGGACACCTATAGCGTATTGCAACCGTACAAGCTGACCGATCAAATTTAAGCCCTTGAGCAGAAAGCTTTTTATTTCGCTTCAGTGCAATCTCTGATGAAATTGTTAAGATCCGATCCCTATAGCATATAGCTGTCATGGACATAAACTCAACGATCAAAGCCAAGTTATGGTATGGGATCTTTTGTGCTTGTGAAGATTATTATAGTTTCGGTGCCTCCGAAGTTAACGATTTTATGTTTTTTTTTTTTTAATATTTGACTGTTGTACATATTTTTAATCAAGAAAACTAGACTTCTTTATGATATTTTGAATCTATAAAAATTCAATCAACACTCATTTAACAGCCATAACATATAATTTTAAACATTTTCCGTTTGTAATTAAATTTTTTTTTTTTGCAAATCACGCGACAACGACAAAAATAATATATTTTTAAATATACATACTTAAGCAGCATTAAATCCATACCTATAAGACTTTTAAGTAATTTTATTATATATTAAAAATTTCAAATAGATGGAATTTTCGTTATTAATTTGAAATATTAATTGTAAATTTTCTATTTTTCAAATCAGTTGGTAACGTTAAAAATAATTTATTTTTGATAATGCTGACTTACATAAATAGCACTCTTTTCGTGCTCATATCACTATTAAGTCTTTTTTTTATTTTTACAGTAATTTAGTATTTAAAATCTAATAAAGGTGGCAACCTTTTGTTTAAACCTCTTGCAACTCAAATCATTAGAAATATTTAAAAGTTCGTGCTCACCTTGTATTGCACTTTTTCGTAACATTTTTTCAAATAAAATATATTAAGTCTTGTGTGGCAACACCATAAAGTAATATTTCTATTATTAAAATTTTTAATTCTATTTTTTCTGATTATCCAGTTTGTAAAATTTTGACTTGCTTACAAATTAATTTATTTAATATGAGTGGCAACCACAATTTATTGAACTTTATATAATTTTTTTCTAAATATGGAAAAAATATATATTGTTGAGCTGCAATTGATTTACTTTTTTAATCATTTTTAAATAAATCTTAATGTTTTTAACTCTTGAACATTTAGTCTCAAATATATCACTTATTGTCTCTCCTCCGCCCACTGTACTCAATAGTACATACATTTATTTACTTCATTCCAAGCAATGCGGTAGCAAAGTGACGTTTAAGCCATTGGCTAACCATCTTCTTCTTCTTATCGCCTTTCACACTTTGCATGCAAATTGAAAATCAAACAAACGCCATACAGCAATAAAAGCAACAGTGGCAAGCGTTCGCCTTCATGACGATTATGTAAGTGTAAGTGTTTGATATGCAATCAGCTTTATTTTGTTTGTATTTGTTGTTGTTGGCGTTGGTGTTCGTGCTTGTATTATGTTTTAACCCAATTTCGATTCGCTGTGCGGCGTCTTCATTTTCGCTGCTGTTTGATTTTCTTTTCCCCCCTTACATGAAATTTTAGTTATTTGTTTTGTATACAACAAAAAAAATATTAGATAATAACAATCGCGCAATAACGCGATATAAATAATAATAATGGTTATAATAATGAATGGCTGATGTTTTGTTGCTGTCGAGTTCGACTGTGCAACTTCATGTTATTAGCTGCATACACAAAACGGGGAGGCGAATTGGCTGTTGGATTAAAGACTCATGTTAATAAAAGACAAACTCGATACGCTGAAAGTGCATCGAATCTGGTTTCTTGCGGAAAGTTTTCATATCGTGTAAGTTTTTGTTGACAATGAGTTTGATAATAAGATTTGCTGTTTGAGATTATATATACATACAGGTATGCATATAGCTATTAAAAATGTATATAAAATAATAAAAAAATGTTAGTCAATTTGCACACGGTTATCAATTTGTATAATATATTATAATTAAAAATTTTTTTTTGACAATTTGTTTTACTAATATCGTTATAAAACTTTATAAAAAATTTTTTAATTTTCAATAAGTCAATATACAACCAAAAAATATTGAACTTCAGCAAATTTGAAAACTTAAAATTACGTCCAACGAAAATGTGTGTCCAAAGCGAGGCAAACTTAACTTTCATGCTCTTCAAAAGCAAAATTCATGCATTACAACATACATTGCGGCTTAAAGAGCAGCCCACTTTTCTGGTTCAACGAATACACGTGCCTTAATGAAACTTGTTGAACCAAATGCTGTGGAATATTGTGCATGAATGATTGCATTTTCACGGCCAAGTAGTTCAACGAGGCATATGATTATTATTTAACCTTACATAAAAACTTAAATGTCATATAGTCGCAAATATTGTATATATATTTATATGCATGAATGTTTCTACTTCCGATGTTTATAAGTAAATTAATGAATAGCTATGCTTGCATAATGATTGAATAATTTTGTAATCTTATTTCTCAAATCACTTTAGCTGATGTGCTACCACTCAGCAAAAATGCTGGCATTTAAACAAAATAACAAAATTTCAATTACAGATTCTGGCACGTATTCACTGTATAAAAGTCTATATCTAAGCCAGGCAGAGTACCAAAACTAATACCATCTGCACGTTATTGCGAAGAATATGCTTTTTATACAGTGCAATCTTTATATTTAAGTTATAAATTGTGTTTAAAGTTCTGCGTAATATTTACTACAGACTATTTTCGTAGAAAACTGAACCTTCTAACTCTTCTAAAAAAAAGCAATATTGTTCCTAAAAAGTGCAGAAAATTCTCATAGAAAATCGTTATTAAGGTTAGGTAAGGTATAACAAAAATGTTTGTCATAAAAGCCTCCTATTCTCTTAACCCAAACATCACATTGAACGCCCTGGACAGGACTTGATTACAATAATAGCCAGCAAGTTTCAGCTATAAGAAATTAGATTTTTAATATTTAAATAATTTATAATAGACATACATATTCGTCTTTTGAGTAAACCTAGTTTTGAATTATAATAAGCGAATATAGATTTTTGTTTCGTTATGAAAAATACTTAACTAAAAATTTTGAGAAAGAATGGGTTTGAAAAAGTATTCTACCCGGTATAGTCTCTTTTGGAAGTATGAATATCACTTGAAATGAATATCAGAGATTTCCACGTGGACATTTAATAACATATTAATGAGCAAGATAGATAGAAAGTATGAAATTTGAGGAATGCACTGCGCACTGTGGTCTATTGTGCCCTTTCCTATTATCACAGCACTTCGTTAACCCAGTCAAATCAAAAAGGCATAGTAAGCTCCTTGGTTAATAGTTGTAACGTGTTCTCGCCCGTATTTCATAGCCCGATAGCCAGACTCCTTCTTTTGTGATTCGTGCTCTGGTTCTTGTGCTCTTCGGTCACAGAAGCGACACAATCCGTGCAGCTTACCCTAATCTACGCAAATGACACCGAATAGAATGATAAAAAACTAAAAAATAATCCAATGCAGCTCTTCATACTAAAAACACAAAATTAATTATTTAGTAGCTATAACTCTACGCTACTAACCCTGCCTCTTGGCTAATTGTCTTTAAAATTCAGAACAATTTTGTTAACAAAATCCTATAATTTAATAATTTTGATTTCCTATATGCTTGTTGGCATTGTAGAAATTACTCATATTACTTTTTAGTTTTCTGAACTTGTAACTCTATATAACATGTTCTTTACACTAGTCTGCAAAAAATTTTTCTTACTGTTTCATTATGAATTTATTATATTTTGTGCTCTAAGCAATTGTGCCAATAAGTACAGCACACATATTTGTTAATTTAAATCTATAATCATAAACGATATTAGCAAAGTAAAATATTATAAAAAGCTGAAAAATATTACCATTAAAATTTTGCTCCGAAATATGATAATTTTACAGTCACAAGTTTTAAAAATATAATATCGATAAAATTTCTCGTCAATCTGTTAACCTTCAAGTTACTTTGTAGTTTTAGGTCTCATTAAATGACCACAAACCATTGCTGCTGATCTTCTCTACTATAGCGTGTTTGAATTTGCATAATATTCTCGGTAAGCTTTAGCATCTAGGGCATGCTTTTTGGAAGAAATCTACTTCGAGTCAAAATATTAATTTTAAGTGACATATTGCATTCTAAGGTTTTATAAGCAAAGAGGCTTTCGACAGAATTGTCGATAGTTTTAGCCTTGTTATCTCCCAAAAATTATGAAAATACTTTAACGTCTTTAAAACAATTTTATGCTTTGTTCAACTTTGAATTAAAAGCTTCTTCATCATAAGCGCCAATCTGCCGATCTACAAAATTCCTTCTTTCAATTTTGCGTCATAGAGTTTGGTGTTGTCTTCATCATATCCTAAGAAGTATATTTAAACCTGCCAATACACAAAATGTTAAATCACCGTATATTTTGAACTAATCACCACATTTGAAATTTTCATCAGTAATTAAAAGCATTTCTCTCAGCGTAAATTTAATTCAACTAATGTGTTTCACACAAATATTTTTTATTACAACATACCAAATCTATATTCACTGTTACTAGTTTCCAAAACTAAAAATACCTCGCGTTTTATTTGGTCCAAGGTGACGTCAAGTTAACGCAAAAATTTCTCTGCTTATGCAATTCACGAAAACAAACCAAAATAGGCTAAAACTAAGAAAGAGGTCATGTAACAGGCTGCTTGTATTACCGGTATTGTGTAGTAACTATATGGAATACATGAAAGACGCAAACGAAATCGAAAAAACACACAAAGCAAAAAGAAAGGAAGTACCTTTATATATTTAAATATGTTAAGAAAAGAGTGCATAAAAAGCACAACGATACTTTTAAAAATTTGCAAAAACTTCGTGAAGTGGCCATATATTATATTATGTTATATGTGCAGTTGCGCGAGTGTAAACGGTGACGTAAAGCAGCGCGAGGATACCCCGGATATGCAGAGCGTGTCATATTGCCAAAAACAAAAAATTATATTTCCATTAATTTTGCTTCATTACTGCTACTGTATAAAGTGTGTGCTTGTATAAAGTGATGTTCGCTGGCGTTGAAAATGAGTTGATTTTTTATTTTTTTTATTTTCTTACACTAGCTCGACTTTTTAGGCCAATAAGTTGGTCTGCGAGTTGGGAATAAACGTAATTCCTTCACTTTATCTTTCATTATAATTTATTATTTGTTTTTTTATGGCCGCATATATTTATATTTTGGACAGCGCTCTAGTTATACTTCACGCATTTCCGCATTTGCACTTGACTTATTGGCCCTTTTTCGAAGCGAACCAGCTGCCGTCTGAGTGTTGCCATTGTTTTTTAAACCAGATTTAAATGCTTAACTGCATAATTTTCCATTCCACGTTTTGGACTTTTTGGCTGAAGATGTGCTTGCAGGTTTCGTACGTCACATGTAATAGGGCTTTTATGAAAATTATGCAAAGAAATTTTGACGGCGCTGCATGAGGCAAATATAAATGCCAAAAAATGCTGTTGTTGTTTTATTTCTTAATTTGGCTGGTATCTTTTTCATTGTTTTATGTTAATATTATTTAAACACACACACGTTTCTCTATTAAAACTTGGTATGTGCAACCCGACATCATTTATTCACAGCACTGTTTTTGTTTTTGTTGTTGTTTGTCTCGTTGATTTGCGTATGCAGCAGGCATTTCTTTACTAGCTTTTGCCATCACATGAATTGTCTTCATTTTGTTTTATTAAGACTCCCTTTACGGGTTGTCTTTGTGTCTACAGTTTAATGCATAATTTTTCACAGCTTAATTTAGCACTTGCGACACTTTTGTGAAAAAACAAAAGCAAAAATTATGCTTACCCACTTGTGTTTTAACTCTGCAAGCGTATTAGATAATATTGTTGCAATTTCTGTGTTTATTTTGCAATGCCATTATTATATATTTTTTGCTATTGTTGTTTAAGTTTGTTGCACAGTATTATTATTATTTTTTTTTTTTTATTGCACAAAGTTACGCCTTTTAATTGTCACACCATTAAAGTGTTGCTTCTGCGCATCATTTATCATAATCGACAGCTGATGGTGTGACGAAAGATTTAATGGATAACAGTACTTTGAGTTACATCAAAGCTATGATGTGAGTGTTTGACACCGGACAAGCGGATATGACTAAGGTTTTTTCTTATTGTTGTTTGTTGTTTGCATGCAATCATTACATTTACTTTATAGTATTCAGTTTTAATAAAAAAGTGAAGTTTACATATAAATGGTCAACTAAAAATATCAAAAATTTATAAATGAAGTATACGCTTATTCGCCAGTTCAACGTGGCAAACTTTTATGCGTTCTCAAAAAAATTTCGACCTTTATAAATCAATATAATAATAATTACAAAAAAATTCTGGCAATATAAAGCCTTCAAGCTCTTCGCTTGCTACACACTTTATATGTAATGATATAGTTCACTGAAGTGTTTCCTAATTTTCTAAAAAGAATTTACAATTCTTATCAGAACAAGAAAGTACAATATCTGCGATTGCACAGAAGCTATAATACTCTTCACAAATACAAAATATTCATTACAAGAAATTGGATTTGACCGTTCAGTTTGTATATCAGCTATCTGCTATAGTGATCCCATCTAAACAATTTCTTTGTACAAAGCACCTCTGCCACAGACATCAATTCAAGCTGAATTTCGTGAAGATATCTCGTCAAAGTAAAAAGTTTTCCATTCAAAGACTTGAGTCACATCGGTCAGCTTGTGTGGCAGCTATATGCTATATTTGCCTTATATCTGCGGTTCCGACAAATGAGCAGCTTCTTGGTGTGAAAAGAGCGTGTGTAAAGGGTACTAGTTCGCGTATATACAAACAGACAGACCGACTGACATGATTAAATCGACATAGCATTGATTATTTATTATATTAATTTATAGGGTCTCCGACGTTTCCCGCGGGGTGTTACAATACGTGGCAATAAAAATTGTGGGTATAAAAATCGTTTGACTAACTTCCTGGTAACTCTTGTTTTTGAAAAAAGCGTTCCAATATAATCAAAAGAATTTTTTGGCATTTTTATTTTATATTTCAAAAATTTTGAGGGTATTTACTGTTCACTTCCACATTCTTACTTGTTATAATATAATCTAAAACGGTTTAAAAATGTATATATATTTTTTTGTTAAATTTTTATAACTTTAAATTGGTGAATTAGAATCATAATTGTACGTAAGAATTCTTTGTAAGGCAATCGAGTCGTGTTTATCATATCCTACTTCCCATTGTGCTTTGCTTCCCCCTAATTTTGTTTTGCCAGTAAGATAAGTCTTAATGAATTTAGACGACTTTTTTTATCTCTATTTAAAAAAGAAAAATATACATATATCATATATGTATGTATAAAGAAATATATTCGAGCTAGACATTTTCAAAGTGAACCAACCAATTTCGGCAAGCCAAATTATAATATATTAAACAAAATTTTTTAATTGGCCGTTTAAGTATTCAGCGCATTATTCAGCCAACATTCTGATCTGTTGAGCAAGTGCTGAAAACTAAAAGACCTCGACAACTTGGTATAGGGCTACAGCTTTAGATGTTTGGGACAGTCAAAACCTACAAGCACTTCTACCATGCCCAGTAAAGCCCTAAAATATTCGATTTTGTTTGCACGTCATATTATTATGATAATTATGCTTCATTTCAACATTCCTTTTATCATCTAGGTAGCTTCAGAATAATTTTCAGATCAGTAAACATTCAAAACTTCTTTGTTTAACAAGCAAATCGCGCCAACCACTACTATATACTGCAACTGACTGATTCACAAGATATAAAATAGTTTCATTCAATATTCAAGTATCTGAACTTAGTCGATATTTCCGAATTTTTTCATAATTTTTTTTTTAATAAAAATTAGAAACGTAAGTAAATCATTTTTCAAGCATCATATTTTTTGTGTGCCAGAAAAAGCATTCAAATTGTTAAATCCTCAGTCACTCACCTATATTTAGAAAACAGCTTGAGGTAATCGCAGTAAAAGTATGTAAAAGTATATAATGCACAGCTTGTTATTCCAAACGATATCCGCAATTATACTATAAGCACTGTGATAAATCTGCGGCACAACGCGTTTCAATCGTTTCTGCAACACTTTTCCCAACTCAACTTTCTTCGCACACTTTGCAATATTCATATACACCTATAGACATTGAAATCAAAATGGAAAGGTAGGAAAATCATATAGATATAGATATGTAAATCTTTAGCACTTTGAGGCAATTGAATATCTGATTTTTAATTTTCGGACGTGTTTTCACAAATGCTTCGTTGATTTCGTTTTCGTTGTTCAACAATTCATGTCTGCCACCAACATAAAACACAAACACGCACACACATATTCAATGCCAAAATTAGGTTTTGTAAATAATTTGCAATTTTTAAGTAAAATAGTAAATTGTCGTGAATTCACTACAATAACAACAATAATCAAAAATGAAAATAAAACACTGCACGACACTGCTGGGACTGACTGTTGCTTTTCGTTGGCTAGCGCAGTCGCAAAGCGGCGCACGCACACAAACGCAACCGAATCGAAATCAAATCAAATCACTTTCACTGCAAAATAACGCAAACGAACATCAACAGTGCGACAATGGCGCTAAGAAATTAAAGCAACTGTAATGGCGTAAAATAATATTTTTTTATTATATTTTTCTTTATTGAAACAACATTAACGTAGATATAACTGTAAGCGTTGGTTTTGGAACAAATCACAATTCATAAAAAAAATTAAATAAATTTTTTATAATTTTTTAATATTTTTAATTATTAAAATTAAATACATTTTTTATAATTTTTTATTTTTTTTATTTAGTAACACTAAATGTTTAAAGCACTAAAATTTTTGAAATTTTTTGTTGAAAAATTCAGTTGTTCTTGTTGTAAAATTAAATATTTTTTACAGAATATTGTTCATACTTTTATTAAAATCTGTTAATCCTTATTTATCCCCAGCAGCACAAATAATCCTTCGCACACTTGTAAACATATATTTCTATATATATTTATTTACACCACATTTTTATTTACCGTTTAGCTGAAGAGCGGTTCGCGCGCGTACTCCACGAATGTAAAAACGTTAATAAAATCGAATGCGGCATGAGCTAACGGTAAAAAACCAAAATACAGTTGCGCTCAATCGATAGCTGCGCAGTCAACTATAGCATGACGACAACAGCAACGACGCTGACGATGGCGACAACAATGTTGCCAATCGTTTTTGTCTCATGGACCAGCGAGAGCTTGAATGGTGTAATCGAAAAGCCGAACGACTAGCAATGAGAGAATCAAAATCGATAGTCGCGTGATGGTAAAACCCAATGATAAATCGGCAACGACCTTCTTGAGTTGAAATCTCAAAGAAGTCTGAATGCGCATGCGCTTACAGCGCAAGTCAATGCTGGCACTAGCTCACAGTTACAACAGCAAATCTGCTACAAAGCACAGCTTTGTAGTTTTGCAGCGAGTTGGTGGCGAACTTGTAGTCTCGCCGAGTTTGTTGCTTAAGTCTTTGGTTTTTTGGTTGGCGCTCAGAGTGAATGGTGAAAAATAAAATAAAAATTAATAAAAGCGTGGAGAGTGTATAAGGAAAAGAGTATGCGCGATATGAGATACAAGAAAGTAGATAATAAACAGCGGCACAGCAAAGGCCGCAATGAATTATTGTTGTAGCCAAAGAAAGGGTGGATATGGCGAAGAGCAAATGACGGCGAAGAAATGTATGGCGCTTTGTCGTTTGTGCAGGGGCTTTGAAAACACAACCACTGCATACCAAAATAGTAAGGCGCATGTGATTTAAGTGATTAAGCAACAACTATTGCAACAATGTCGATATAACACGGTATTCAGCTGTTGTACACATAAAGGCGTTTGAGTGTTGTGGACAATTAACGAAAAGTAAATATGTTTCGTTGCTATTTTTTGGTTGTATAGGGAATATATTTTTCTTTAATAATTATATAGTCGATAATCGCCTTTATTTTTATTTTTGTTTTTATTTTTAATAATATTTTCCCATTTTTTAGGGATTTATTTAATTTCTTAATGCAAATCTAAGCTTTTGCTCTAAAAATATTGGTTTACGATATATTCTCAATAAAACAAATGAGTATTACTTTAAAGCTTAGTTAAGTCTGTGTAGTTAAGTTAATCAATATAAATTGAACCAAATCTATGCTCAAAGTTAATTCAATAAAATTTAATTATTACTCACAAGTGTCACACAATTAAAAATAATTATAAACTTATATTCTCTTTTTGCCAATAATTATTCTCTTTAAGGGGCACAATTTTTATAAAATCGATTTATTTTTTGTGTTTCGATGGATTAACAAAAAAAATTTAACATAATATCTTAAAGTGTTTAAGTTACAGCATTTCAAATTGTAGCCGCTCAGTTCAATTAGGCTGCTTAGTTTGTCTTAAAATGTTCAAATATGTTTGAGTGATTACTTGGAGACAAATGATTCGATCACTATCAAATTTCTTCATGTATATACTACACAATTCTTCATACAATATCCTACCAGTTCTTTCATCTGATCAAAAATTGAATTTTGGCATGCCAAATACGACTAAAATGTTGAGTAAAATTCAACTTTTGCTTTAAACTCAGGCATTTTGTTTAGTTTTGAATTTTTTCGATGGTAGATCATTATACTAGTAGAGAATTTTTTTGGTCTCATCGGCGGAGGAGGCCTGTATCAATGCAGTATTTTTCAAACGCCGTCGAACATGGCGTATAACTCAAAAATTATTTAATTTTTTTTTTCAAAAATACTTTGTATTCTTGAAATATGTGTAAATATAGCCTTAAAATTTGAAAGAAATTCGTTTTTTGAAAATTCCCAAAAATCTCCTTATATTTTGGCTGTTCTACTTAATGTGCCTCTCGAGCTTTTTATCGGGAAGCCGAAATCTTTTTCTGAAATCAAACACGATTTGAAGATATTTCTATTATTTTCTCTCCCTTATACGAAACTATGTATATGATGAAAAGAAAGAAAATTAAATTTTTTACAAAAGTTTATGGAATAACGGATTTTTTGCCTTTTCAAACATTTTGGAAAATAAATACAATATTTGAAAGAATGATAATATTTCGATTATAGGTTAATATAGCACACAATTAAAAAAACAAATGACAACCAAATTTTCGACAAATTCCGTTAAGTTTTTTTTAACAGGCATATGGTTTACTTTTTATATATTTTAAGAGTGAATTTTTGAGAATTACTTAATGAGATTATTTCTTTGCTCTATATTTAGGATGTATAAATCCAGCACAATATCTGTAATACAGTTAGTTTTTGTCAGTTTATTCCGATACTATGCTTTTCGTAGTTCTAGTAGTGGTTCTCACTTTGTAATCATCAAATCTTAGCCTAACTGTTTGACTGCTCATCTCTACAGGAGTGGACAGTGTATGAAAACGATAAGAATCAACAGGTTGCAGGCGTTTCCAAAATTGTACGCTCTAGCATATTATCCGTAACTTAGTGCCTTATTTAATACTGCCAAAATCGAATCGTTTTATATTGAAGCGACCAGATGACTTTTCCTATACAATATAAAACTATTTTCCTCTTGTTGTACAAGTATATGTAATACATCATTTAATCCTTTGAAATAATTGTCAATGCGTGAAATATAAAAACGATTAATGCATTGCTGTAGTTTTAAAAATTCTATACAGTTTTTAAATCTGGCTATAAGCTTGACCAACAAATGTTGTCCTCTAGTGAAAAGAGAGGAAAATGTGGATGATGGTCATTTTCTATAATTTTTTAAAAACTTATATACTTTAATTAATAATAAATTTCATTATGTTCAAATTCGAAATTTGATGAGAAATATTTCGATTTTGAAGACTAACTTAGAAAAACACAAAAACAATTTCATATTGTATATAAATACAAAGATTTCGAATTATTTACAAAAGTATTTCCTGGAATGAATATAGTTCGAGATTTTTACATAATTGCTGATACTTTATAAGAAGAATTAAAAGAATTTCTCCTGCAAAAAACATTAAACCACTTTTTCGTAAAAGTGCAAATGCACAGACTTACCCTTGTATGAATATAATAACATTAAATATATAAGTAATAAACAACCTGCACTAATACAAGTGGAAATGTCATTGCACATTTCATTATAATTTACTAAAACAAAATTTTCCAAATAAACACACTGTACCCAATAATAACACTTCCAGTAGCAATCGGCGTGTCAAAAATTGCTTCATTTCTTTTGTGCCTAAAATACACACAAATACACGTTTGTTTTATAACAGTACAAATGACTAAGCAAAAGCATGTACCTTAAGTGCATATAAATGACAAACGAATAAACTCAACCGCCTGTCTATAAAATCTCAAGCAGCTTAACAATAGGAGATTTTGTACAAAATAAAGCAAAAAACTGCACACATTTTCTTGTTTTTTTTCTTTTTTTTTTTTTGGTGGTTGCTTAACTTCCAGTTAGCGCTTGTAATTATAAAGATGGGATGCCATAATGCGGCGATGGTCACTCAGCTGGCCAAGTGTGCAGTCAACGGAAACGCTGCGTTGCTGCTTTGCCTCATAAAAGTAGTAATAAGCACACACCTGTATAAGTGTGTGTATGTGTACGTGTGCATCTTGAAGTTTCAGCTAATGAGCTCTCACTGCCGCCGCAGCAATTCGGAGCGGATGCGTCGCACAGCAGCGTAATTAAGCGTGCGCTCGACAATATTGCTGCTGTATTGAGTGAGTTTCATTAAAATCAACAAAAAAAAAGAAAAAGAAAAAAAGAGTTGAACAAAAAAGATATTGGACACAAAAAATCTGATTATCCGCTTTGGCATATTGCTTCTGTTTAACATTTTTATTTTAGTTAATATTTATTTTTATATGCCACTATTGTTATTGTTGTTGGCGTTTTAACCGTCCACACAAGTGATTCTTTTGTTCGAATATAAATGTGCACATAAATATGCACATCTATTTATACATGCTAATTGTGCGCTAATAGACGTCGCTTTCAAAGGTTGACAAAACAGCGGAAAATGAGTTATGAAGTTCCTAATCATCTGCGAACGTTCGATGAACCACGGCCAGACGTCGCCAAGGTTATGTCGCCTATGTGCTTATTGTAAAAAAATTGTTTATTAGTTAAAACATACATACAAACAAAATGTTTCTTGTTATGCTTAGTGTTATTACTTAAGCGTGTTATGCAATCAATTTTTTTTTTTTTTTGTTTTATATTTTGGTTTTTGTAGGCGGTTTGGGTGTATGCATTTATTGCCTAAATTGCGTCATATTGAAAAGCGCTTATTACTTCAGTAATGAGAACTTGACGTTATTAAATGTTCACATTATTTTAATTTAAAAATAGAAGAAAATATTATTAAGCAATGGCAGGGAAGTTTTTTTTTTTTTCATTTTGTAAAGGAAGTCAGATGCTTTTGCAAGCTTTTGTGTTGCTTAACACTGCTATAGTAATATTGGATATTGGAAGAACATATTTTCAATATTCAAAAAATTTTATTACAATATTTTATTAATAATTAAGTACAGAAGGGGTGTTTTTTTTTAGAGGTATAGAACTTTAAATTGCAATAAAACAACGTTGGATTATTCGATTGACATGAATTTTATTTATCCGAAATTGCACTATTTGCGAGCGGTGTGTTTAGGCGTGAGTCTATGCATGATGAGTTGCCAAACTAAACGGATAAATCACTTGACAGTTATTAAATCGGTTGCCATATTGAACAGTAATGCCAACTTAAAGTTCTATATCTCGAACACCCGATATTTTAAATTACACATTTTTAGTGATAGTTTTTGACGACTTTCTCATGCGGTTGTAAGTACTCTGCTGTGCTTGGTATAGTCGGTATCTACCCTCTCTCGTTAAGTTCGAATAGTCCATCATGAGTATAGTTTTAAATATTTTATTTAGTACTTCTGTCGATTTTATGTTATCTTCATGCATAAATAGTAGTAGGTAGTAGGTAGTTTTAACGCTGCTGTAAGTTATGTTGAAATCTAGAATGTCGACTAATATAACTAAAAAATCAGCGCAGTAAAAAAGTAAAAGTTCGAAACTGAACAAAACGGCTAAAAAAACGTATCTCTCCCACGTAGCCGATTGATCCACATTATTTTATTTGAATTTCAACCAGAAAGCATTACTAAGCCACTATCAGCAAGAAAGTTGAAATTTTGACAATATTATTTGATAACTTGATAGTTTTTAAACCTGACGTGATGTGATAAAATTGTAACTGGTCTCGTTATCAATACACAGAGTACGTTGAAGCTTTCATACAATTTAAATATATTAAAATTATTACGAACGAGTGA